ATATAGTATAAAATTTGCCATTTTAACTTTTTAAAGGAACAGTTCAGTGGCTATAAGTACGCTCACTTTGGTTGCAACCATCATCACTATTTATCTCTAGTACTTTTTTTCATCATCCTAAACTAGAACTGTGTACCCATTAAACAAAAGCCCTTCTCCCTTCTTCCCTTATCCCCCATTAGCCCCTGTATATTTTCTTTTTCTACTAGTTACTTTATTTTATTTGTACTTTTGGGGGATGGGGTTTAAAATAGAATTATTTCCTGTCTTTTGAGTATATTTTTAAGAAATGTGCTCATTAGTTTTTTTTTCAGGAGCCTTTCAGTAGTTTTTTTTTTAAGAGAAGTCTAGAATTTGCACTTAGGTACACACTAAAATATATGTATTTTTTTGTCTTGCAAAAGAAATACATATCCATTATAGAAATGCATGTGCAATGCACTTTGGCATGTAGGAAGACAACAGTGATTTATGGACAGAAAATACAGAAGAACAAAGAAGAAAATAGTAAATTCTACCATTCAAGGAATAATCATTGACAATGTCACATATATCTCATTCTTTTCATTTGTGTTTAACTTTTTTTTTACAAAAATAAGATTTGTATTGTTCTGTTCTGCTTTATAACTTACCTTCCCACTTAATAGTATATCGTGAAAACCTTTATAATTTAGAATTACTATAATATTTTGTATTTTTAATTTTGGTGGTAAGAAGTATTCATTGTTGAAGGTAAATTATAGTAACTTGAAGAATAAAAATAGTCTGTAATCTCACCACTCCAAGACCACTATAAATATTTGATACTATCTATAGCTCCACACTTGTGTCTACATTAAAAATTATGTGTAGTAGAAATAGCCCCAGGTTCTAACCTGATTTTATTTTTTAACATGTCATGAATATCTTTCCAGGCAAATCAATAAAATTTATCATCTTGTCTTTTCCTGTTTCATTTAACCTTTGACAGATTGTTTTTGCTTTTTTTCTGATATAAATAAGTAGAGATCTCTTTATACAAATCTATAGTTATTAAATTTTTAAAAGCACAATGCTGCATAAAAGTAATGTTTTTTTAAAGCTCTTGTAACTGCCAAATTAAAATCAATAATGCTTGTACTATTTCCTCTCTCAGCAATGTATGAGATTTGATCCTTGCCAGAATCCTCACAATTTGATATATGAACAGTAGTATCTTGTTTAATCTGCATATTTTGTATAACTTTTCCTCGTATTTATTGGATAGGAGAATTTGTATATTGCCTATGTCTTGTCTACTTTTCTATTTTTAATACCATTTAAAAATTAATTATAATGGTTCTTTCAGAGGATGGACTCTTGTGTTTGAATCTTGTTCTCTCATTTGCGAGTAGTTCGATCTTGGGCAAATTATTTAAGCTTTGACAGTAGACAACTAATTTGAGTTTTAATCTCTCCTACTTTGATAAAATCTCTCAGCCTCAATTTCCTCATTAATATGGAGAAAATGTTAATACCTACCCTGGTTGGCTGAATACTTGGCATTAGCTACTGTTGTTATTACTAATAAACTCTTACATGTCTATTCTGGATTTTTGACTCTATTTGTTTGAATGGTGTCTGAGTAGTCCTACACCATAAGTTTAATGAATGCTATGTTTTGTTATCTGTATTTAGTTTGCAGATGCTGAAGGTTACTTTCCTGCTTGCACAACAGATACAACTATGACTAGTTCTTTGGTACGTCTTTCTTTTCTTGTTTGGCAATGGCAGGAAGAATTCGCATAGCTCTGATGGCACCATAGGTATATTAACAGATGTAACTCAGTATTGGGTGCCCTCTATGAGAATTACAATGTGTTACTTTTTTTCCTTAGGGAGACCTGGAGCCTAGAGGTAAGCATTTCAGCTACCTTTGAAGAGAAAGGGGAGAGGTAAACTAGTTAAGGGATGAAATAATAAAAAATAATCCTTTCTCTTTTTTTTTTTTTGCCAACTTTCCAACTTCATTTTCATTATTATCAGTGAGAAACATTTTTGCTTGAAACTGAGAGTATATAAGCAAAATGTTCATTCATTTTTTTTCCCATAAAATATTTTAGAGCAACTAATACATGTGAAACACTTGTTCTAGGTTCTGGAAGTAGAGTTTACAAGGGTTTGATCAAAATATACAGTGAATGTTTAAAGTAAGAGAAATTTTATTGCATTGAAAGATACAGTGCCTCCTGTTGGGGCTGGGGGACTGAGCTCAGTGGTGCCACTGCCTGCCTTGCAAGCGCAGGGTCCTGAGTTCAATCCCCAGTATTAAATAAAAAGAAAGAAAAAAGGCCTAACATTAATCCCCTCAAAATACTTCCCCTCATTTTGAACACACTTATCCCATTGTTCTTGTCACTTTCTGGCCTTGAATTCAGTGATCCTCCTGCATCAGCGTCCTGAATGCTGAGACTACAGGTGTTTGCTGCCACACTTCACTGCTCTTGTTGCTTTCTGAACCAGTTTTGGAAGTTCTCTTTTGTGTCTTTACAAGGTGTGATAAAAAATACAGTGAATTGTGCTGCCAGGTGCCATCCAGTGGTAAGGCAGGCTCATAAAAACATTACAGTGTATCCTCATGCACTTTATTTACCAGATCTGGCATGGTGTGACTTCTGGCTCTTCCTCAAAGTCAAAATGACAAAGGTAAACGTTTTGAACCAACTCAGGACGTTGAGGTTACCATGACAGCACAACTAAAGGCACACAGCAGAACTTTCAGAACTGCTTCATAAAGTGGCAAAAATGCTGGGGTAAGTGTATTCAAAGTGAGAGAGATTAATGGCAATGTGTCTTTTAGTGTAATAAAATTTTTAAAAATTTAAACACTCAACGTATTTTTTGATGATGCCTGTATGTTCTAGTATGTTAGAATGTGTGGGGAGGGAGAGCAAAGAGGTAATAGGCAAATGAATTAAATAATTGGCATACTTATTTTCAGTATTTATAATCTAGTTGAACACTGCATAATCCATTCTTTTAAGACCAACCCAAAGTCTTTCCCCCTGTCCCTAAGACATCTCTTTAAAAAATATTTTTAACATTACTTTTCTTTCCAAATGTGGCGTTGTTAGAAAAATTTTAAAGTTACTCTAGCATTGTACCAGTTTGTGAAGCACTGGTTTGGTGGCCTTTTTGGAAGTATATATTTTTGATTGTTGACTTTTTTAGGACTGTTGTGTTCCAAGTAGGATACTGGGTACTAGAAGAATTTTATTAAGCTTGGTGAAAATGCCGTTTCTTTTCTCAAATCTTAAACATTGATGAGATAGCACAGTATCATTTGTTTCTCTCAGTGCAGAAGGCCCAGTTGAGATGGCAGCCTACTTTCCTGACTACTCTTCTACTAATTCTTGCTTTTATCTAACATGGATATGTCAAATTGCTCTAGGCCAAATGTTATAATGAAAAGTTCAATGTAATGAAAGGACTGTAATTTGCCAGACCCTATTATCTTTTCATTTATGGAATATTTTTCATTGTCAGAGTTCTATACCAAGAATTAAAAGAGAAATCAAAGATATACAAACAAAAGTTATGTTAATTTTTAAGATATAGCCTGGTTGAGGAATTGTACTTTTAATAAAGTCCACTTAGAGAATATTTGCAAAAGTTACTGAGGCATTTAGAATTACCTGGAAATATGGGCCTTTAGAGCATGGTTAGACAACTTGGCTTTAATTCTGCTGTCTACTACTTGCTTATTACATATCTCTGCTTCTAGAAAAGTTTCTTTAAAATATCTATTTCATAAAGTTATTTTGAGGACTAATGAGAAAAATACATTTACCTCCTCTGCACTGGTATGTTGTTACATAGTAAGTGATAAATAGTAGAAATTTAAATTTTTGTTGTCTACTAACCTTGTAAAAGTTTTCAACAATTTTTGTTTTTTGTTGAAACTTATGTAATAAAACAGTTTGGCTAATACTGTATGTGAATATAAATATAAACTATATGTTTGATTATCTGTTCATTGTTTGCCTTCCTCTTTAAAGTACATGATCATTGTGGTTATTTATCCCCAGAACCTATAACAGTGCTTGACAAGTAGGAGCTCAGTATGTTTTTGTTTGTTTTTGGAAAAACAAACAGGGCCTTAGTGTGTTGCCCAGGCTGGTCCCAAACTCCTGGGCTAAAGTGATCCTCCTGCCTCAATCTTCTGAGTAGCTGGGACTACAGGTGCATGTCACCATACCTGGCACTCAGTATGTATTTCCTAAAAGAATGAGTGAAAGGGATGGAAGATAATCTGTTACCTGGGAGAAGCTCTGTTTGTATGATATTTAAATATTAGTTGCCATAATGTGCCAAAGGTCTTGTATTACATTTCTAGAGAAGCTGATCCTTGCTTGTCACTGTCCCTGTGTGGATCAATAGAACTTCATTTTTAGTTGTTTTTTTTTTAATAGGGTCTCACTAAGTAATTGAGACTGACCTGGAACTCACTATGTAGCCCAGGCTGGTTTCGAACTCATAGCGATCCTCCTGCCTCAGCCTCCCGAGTGATGGGATTACAGGCGTGTACCACAACACCAGGCTCCTTTTTAAGTTTTTAATCTGTATTTTGGGAAATTTATGCTGTATAAGCATACTGGTGAATAGTTATGTTTTGGGTGGTATCTGTGTACATATTATCCCTTTAAATTTATGTCAGCTTTTACTTGAGCTGTTCATATTTGTTTCTGTTACATTTTAGAGTGAACCACTGTATGTTCCTGTGAAATTTCATGACCTTCCAAGTGAAAAACCTGAGAGCACAAATATTGATTCTGAAAAAAGTAAGTAATTTTAAGAATGAGAAATGAATTGAAATTTTAGCTCCTTTCAAGCCACCCCAAACTTACTGATTTTGTGGGTTGTGTAGGAGTCACATGGATTGACTTGGCCTGAAGTCTTCTGGAAATTTGAATGGACTGTTTTTGTATTACTTTGACTAGAAATAATTCCAGAATCTCTGATTTCATTGTGTGTGTGTGTGTGTGTGTGTGTGTGTGTGTGTGTGTGTGTGTTTGCAATACTGGGGAATGAATTTAGCACCTTTTAAAATTTTTTATTTTGAGACAGGGTCTTGGTAAGTTGCTGGGTTACCCAGGCTGGGTTTGAACTTGAGATCCTCCTGCCTTAGCCTTCCATATTACTGGGATTACAGATGTGCCTTACCTCACCTAGCCTGTATTTTTTTTTTTTTCACTGAACACTATTCTGTTGAATGTGCCGTCAAAGACCTTTATATCAAGAGATAGGAATTTGTGTTAAAGGATGCCAGCTTCAATGTAAGGCATTTATCCATGATTTCTTTTGCAAGGAATAAACCTAAAGAGGAGTGTTCTATATACCTTTCCAGAAAGATAATTTTCATAAGTTGGGTATCCATGAAGAAAAATCCAAATATAAATGCTAAAATAATAATCATGAAAATCCTATGCCAGGCAGTTGTGTGTGCATACATTTGCAGAAGCTTTGTTTGAATATTGGCCAAAATATTGAAACTCTTTACAACGTTTTTATAGATGACACTGTTTTTCCAGTTATTATTTTGAGTGAGTAAAGCTACTCAAGGTAATAGTATAAGTGGTTTTCTTTGAGTGTCTTAGTTTGATTAAAATGAATTAAACAATATGCACTTATGACTAAATTAAAACTTGTGACTTTAGTTAGATTAAAGGGTACATGTGATAATTTTGTACTGTGCTTTTCTTTTAAGCTCCCAAAAAGTCTCGAGTAAGGTTTAGTAATATCATGGAGATTCGGCAGCTTCCATCAAGCCATGCATTAGAAGCGAAGTTGTCGCGAATGTCCTATCCTACTGTGAAAGACCAAGAATCCATATTGAAAACTGTGGGGAAACTGACTGCAACTCAAGTAGCAAAAATTAGCTTTTTCTTTTGCTTTGTGGTAGGTCTTTTCTTTATTACATGTTTGGAACTTGAATTTTTAGATGATATACAGATTTTGTGTGTGTGTGTGTGTGTGTGTGTGTGTATGTGTGTGTGTATACATCAATAATTTATTATTGAAGTGTAAGACTATTAGGGTTAAGTATGACATTAAGCTGCCACATGGCATCATTTGGAAGAGTATAAAAGTTAGCAAATGGTCATATACCTCAAAGAATGAGAAGTCAACAAATCCTAAAGCATACCTGTTTATATGCATACATACACACACATACAATTTAGAAATTCTTCAGAATGTACCCTTGCCTCGGGATCAGACAATGAAAACAGATTTTATACTGTGATTTATACAAGGGGTAGTAAATATCCAGATAAGAGTTTACCATATGCTTTTATTTCTTCAGATAGATGTTTTTATAGTTTTACATTAAATTTATATAAAAATAGTTAAGTATTTTAGCAAGTAGTCATAGTGAATATTTTTACAGAATTTCTTGTAGTATAACTCACAGTATCTGTTATTGTAATATAGACTCTGGGAGATGTACCCGAGATTTCCAGGAGAATAATGGTAAAATAAGCAGAGTATTTTTATTTGGGGCTAAACTAGAATCAGAGACTTGCTGGAGTTTGAGAATTCTAAAAATGTATTTCAGAGTTGCTTCATATATATATGTATTGTTGGAATTAGCCTGCTGCAAGATTGTTTCATATGAGCCTTTAAGATTCTAATTTTTACCAAGCACCTAAAGCCAGTGTACTATGCCAGTGTTAATGTTTTTGGCCTGGATTATAAGATATTTTGCTCTCTAATTTTGCCTTTTATATCTGTTAAATTACCCATTTTTTTCATTCCCCTGGCCAAATAGCCTCTACTTCAGTGATAACTTGATAAATATATTCCTCTATGCAAATCAAAGGAAAATCTTTGGGAGTTGTTACACGATTATGATTATATATGATTATATTTATAATAAAAATAGTTTTAAACTTTAAAGGCTCATCAGTTGTGACTTGTTTACAGTTTTAAATGTGTAAAGCAGGAATAAAATTTATTAATTATATGCTTCTTTCAAAGGAGCCGTGAGGTGATGTGTTATGAAAGTATCTCAGTGGTAAACATTAAAACAAGGATGAACATATAACAGCCAAATTAAATGGGTAGTGAGGACAGGATCTGGCTGTGAAGTAAGAGATTATATCAGGAAATCTAGTTTAAAGGGAGAAAGCTACTTAAAGTGGGTATATTAACTCATCTGTAGACAAAGTGGAAGGATGGCCAGAAGGAAAACTTCTGAGTCACCACACAACTTCTTTTTCATTGAAAGGATCTATCTCCCTTCCTTGGCTGAAGCAAAACTTTGCCTCATCTTTAAACGAGAAAGGTACTGTGGCGGGTGGACCTTCAGTGCATGCCTGAAGCTGGAGCGAGCACTGAACCTTTGTATACTGCGTCTTTTTTTCTTGTACATACTTAACTATAAAAAATTTTCATTTCTAAATTAAGGATAGTGAGAGATTAATAACAGTAATAATAGAATAGAATAATTGTAATAATATAGTAATTCTTCATTCCCACCTCTTGCAGCCCTAGGCATCAGTCATTCTGCTTTGTTTCTGTGAATTTGACTAATCTGAGTGCCTCTTACGGGTGGAATCTTACGTTGTCATTTTGTGACTGCCTTATCTCGCTTTGTTTAATGTCCCATGAATTCATCCGTATTGTAGCATGTGCCTTTTCAAGGCCCATAAGATTTCATTGTGTGGATGTACTACATTTTAGTTATTCTTTTGTCCTTACGCACTGGGGATACTTCCATCTTAAGAGTATTTATTAGAAAACTCAACAGAAAATCCATTGTTAGAGTTAGCTTTATAGATCTTCAGTAAAGGAATTTTTATAGAAAGTTGGAGTAAGATAATCCAGGTATATAACTTTTTGGGACTTTAACTTAATAAAGTGATAACCTTAGATAAAACCAAAAGCAGTGCTGTACTGTAAAAATATAATAGAGTTTCAATTTTAAAAAAGAAAAAGTGATGCTAATTTTAATATAATTTTTAAATTTAATAGACTAAAGTATTTCCACATGTGATTGCTATAATAATCATTGATAGGATAGTTTATACTTTCTTGGTACTAAAATCTTCTAAAGCTAGTGTGTATGTACTTAAAACACATTGGAGTTCAGATTAGCCAATTTTAGCTGTACAGTAGCCACATGTCTAATATCTAATGTATTAGACTGTGTATTGGTTACTGTACTTTCCAATATTTCTTGAATATCTTTTGTCTTATTAGGTCCTGTGGTGGTTTCTTTGTTTCCCATTAAATATTACTTGTGTTATAGTGACTTTATGAAGAGTACCTTTTATTGTGTATCCAAAGGAAATGAAATCAGTGTCTTCATACAGGAACTAAGTGTCCACTGAAGGATGAAGAAACACACACACACACACACACACACACACACACACACACACGTGGTAATTTTTTCAACTTACAGTTTTATAAAAAGGAAATCCTGCAATTTGCAACAACATGGATGAATGTGGAGGACATTAGGTTAAGTGAAATAAGCCAAGCACAGAAAGACAAATACTTATAATCTCCCTTTTATGTGGACTTTTACAAGTTGAATGCACAGAGCAGAAAGTAGATGGTTGTTTCAGGGGATGGGGGATAAAGAATAGGGAGATGTTGATCAGATTTTAACTGTGAAATGAGTAAGTTCTATACATTTCACCTCTTTGACTGTAAATTAGAATATCTTAAAATTTGATAAGAGTGGTTTTTGTGTCCTGATTACATACACACAAATACAGTAACTGTCAGAGGTGACAGAAGTGCTAATTAATTGGACTGTGGTAATCAATACTAATGTGTGTGTGTGTGTTTGTGTGTGTGTATACACATACATATATATCTGAAATGATCATGTTATATACCTTGGAGATACATATATATGTGTGTGACTTCTCTTTTTAAATATTTAAAAAATATATAATGATAATTAAATGGTACTATCTTAAGATTATTTAAAAATGAATTATGAAATATAACTTATTTGCTATAATTGTTAGTAAGATATTTTCGATTCTGGAATAATGAAGGGAGACCTTATGATCATTTTTGTTGGAGCATAGTTAACATTGGTCTTCTTTTGTGTTGACAGTGCCTTGGGCTTGAGAGGCAGAGAATAATAAGGTCTTTATGGAAAGAATTTGCAGGTTGAACAGTGCTTAAGCTCTTTGAATGCTTACCATCTCAGTAATCTGTCTGTTTTTATTTCTCTACTTTGCAATAGTAGGAATGAGTGAGATTGTTTGGAAAATGAGCACACTATTTAAGTATTAAAGTAACAAGAGAAATGAGTAAAGTAAAAAACTAACTATCCCTCCTTAGGCATTATTGGTTCTTTCAGAGAAATTCCCAATGATAATTCATGTCAGAATCTGCCTTTCCCAGCACAGCTATAGGCAGAATGAGATTGTAGCTTCTGTCGCCGTGTATGTTTGATATCACACTTCTCACCAACTCACACTTTCTTTTGTTATTTAGATAGGTAAATGAAATTATCTATGAAGTCAGAGGACTGCAAATTAGAGTTTCCCTCTAGCCTTAGCCTTGAGTACAGTGTAGACCAAACGGAGGCTACTGTTCCTTAGTCATTTGCTATCCTTTAGTAGTGTTCTAATATCATCTGTCTATGATACTCCTTTCAAATGAAAATATAAATAATCATTTACTCATTTAGCTGCATATTCTGAGATAGAACAAGACCTTCATAGAATAACTTTCCAGTTGATCCATATAACAGAGATGCCAACAACAATTAGAGTAGCAGTTTCTTTATTTCAGTTGGTATAGCAATCCACTTCTTAGAGTACACTTTAGTGAGAGTCGTGCATGTAATGCAGCAGGTCACATGTACTAAAATGTTCATAATAGCATTGTTTAGTAGTAAAAACAATGTATTCACACCCACACAAAGATGAATTATCACTGAAAATAAGTGACTTTTGGATACACACAGCCAAGCTTCACCAAAATGAGATATTATTTCTCCTTCCCTAAGTCAAAGTAGGCATATAATTGGAAATATGAGAATATCCTAATATAAATGAACAGAAGAGAGGAATGAAGAAAAAAAAGTCCTCATAACTAGAAAACTTCTTTCACTATATCCAAAGTTAAGAGAATTCTTTGGGTGGTATTCAGACTGAGAACCAGAGAAACAGTCACAACTAACCAGTATATTCAATTGTCCTAGGACATTTCTAAATTTCCAAGGTAAATATGAATGTATCTGTCTACTGTCTTGCTAGTTCTTTCTGTGTCCATGGACATCATCTTGTTTAACAGACTTCTCATTATGCTATTCATCTATATGTTTTAATGTTTGAGAATTTTCCCAAATTTAAATTTGATTTAGATAAACCTAATGGAGTGCCACCTGTGCTCGCATAAAGAAAATTTTAAAGTTGATGTGATACTCATTTTACCTTTACTTTAAAAAATTTGGGGCTGGGAATTTAGCTCAGTGGTACCACACTTGCCTTGCAAGCACAAGATCCTGAGTTCGATCGCTGGTCCCCTCTCAAAAAATCTGCATATTTTAACCACATTTTATTAGATTCATAATGGAAACTGGATAACAAAATCAATCATAGGTCTGATTTACAAGTATTTGCCCCTTTTTTGCAAGGTCTGTGATTTCTAACGCAAAGCCTTTAAAACCTGTTATGAGTGTTTAGGAGGAGAAAAAATTGGCTGTAAATTGTAATGGCAGATATAAATATGCCTTTCCCTAGGTTTCACTTTATTGTCTTTTCTTTAGTGGTTTTTGGCAAATTTGTCATATCAAGAAGCACTTTCAGACACACAGGTTGCTATTGTGAATATTTTGTCTTCAACTTCTGGTAAGAAATTTGTCTTCAAAATCTGGATGTAAATTGATAGATTTCTTGTGTGTGTGTTTATATACATACATATTTCTATTTTGTTACAACTTTTTACGTTAGTTATAATGTGCATTTGTGTATTTTAACTGCTGCTTAATATTTATAGTTTCCCGCCTTACCTTTCTGCCATTTATGCTGCTTCAAGTACATTGCATTGTTTCTTATAAAACAATATATTGAAGTTGTTCAGTTTGGCTCTTTGTATTGTAGTTGTCTTACCCTGTTTAAACCTTTGTTAAAGATCTTTTTCTAAAACCTTTTGGCTAAATGTAATTGCTTATTTCAGAACTATAATTTGCCTTATGGTAGGTGTTTTATTTTTAAAATTGAATCACCTTCCAAATCTGGAAGATAAGAGTAATTTTGAAGCTGTAAAAATAACTTCAGCACACAGGCTTTGTTATGATGAGGTCACAGTGATACTCTGAATGCTCAGTTTAACTCTTTAAAAATAAATAGGACTGCACTTGATTGGTATTGTTGAAATAATGGTTGAGTTTAGAGGCACTTTATGTATGATGTTTGTACATTTCAGCCTAGGCAATGAAGTCTCATTCTTAGTTATTTTAAAATGTTCAAAAAATAGTTTAAAAGTTAGTTGTGTAATTCACTTAACTATTAAATTGGTAATAGTAATAGCTCACGTACTTCCTTTTTGTCCTTTTTTTCTTATAGGACTTTTTACCTTAATCCTTGCTGCAGTGTTTCCAAGTAACAGTGGAGATAGATTTACGCTCTCTAAACTACTAGCTGTAATTTTAAGGTAAAAATATAGTGTAAGCCATTACTCTGCTTAAAAATATGATATTTAAATTTCTGGTTGTGATGAAGGATAGTTTATTTTATATCATAATACACTGTCAAAGAAAGATGATGACAGAGACATCAGTAAATGCACATTCTGCTCCTCAGCCCTGCTTTATGTACTAGCACTGTTTCCCAAACCTTCCCAGGTAGGGTAACTGGAAGGGGAAGACCCCAAGGCAGCCTTGTTCCCTTTGACATACTTGCAGACTTCCTAAGTCTTATTCAAGCCAGGGATTTGGCTCAGGGTTCCACCACCTGCCTCGCAAGCACAAGGGCCCAAATTTGATCCCCAGTACAGACAGACAGACAGACACACACACACACACACACTGAGTCTTATCCTAACACATTTAATTTAATATGGGAAATTAGTCATAATGGCTTCCTATGTATCTATTCCTTTTCCTAAGACAATTTCCTCTTTTTGTTCTGGCTTTGATTTCTCCTTCCCTTTTGCCTAGACATCTAACTTTCAGTTTTCTGTAATTGTCTCAGCCAACTGAATTACACAGATTATTTTTTGTGTAATTCATTTGGAAATTTTACACTACTGCACAGTAGCAGCGTTGTCAATAACAATATTTAAATCTTTTACTTTTATTTAATTTTGTATATATTTATTTGTCTTGTCTTTTCTACTGGATAATAAACCTTTGAGGGCTAAGGCATTGTTTTATACTTCTTTGTGTTACCAAAGCCTAGCATAGGGCTTTGCTTAATTATAGACAATATTAAAGAAATACTGTATTGGTTTGATAAAGCTGTTATTTTTGTGTGAGAAAGCCAGGACTCAAAGAGGTAGCAGAATGATTTACTGATTTAGAGTAGTGTTTCTTAGCTGTCAGAACTGGGATTGAATTAGAGCTCTATTGTTTTTCCTTGTGCAATTCTCTTAAACTTTGAAAAGCTTTTTTAGTTAAGGAAAGTATGATCATATTATCTGCTTTGCAGCTTTGTTTTAAAGTTTGGAGCAGTGTATATAAAGTGATTCATATAGACTGGTAGTTGGCAGTCATTTAAGACTGGTAGCTCTGACAGACTTTTTCTCTTAGACGTAAGGGGAAGCTGACTGATAGTTTCAGTGAGTAATCTGGCTGACCCAACTTACTTACCATTTAGACTTTTTTAAACACCAGGAATTTATTCTTTTGCATGGTTCGCTAATGTCTTAGTCAATCATATTTTTTGCATTAGGGAAATAAATTTGTATTGAGAAAGTAAATGAGGTTTTATTCAACTTCATTAAAATTTATGCTAATTTTTAAATTTTTCTTAGTATTTGCCTAATAAGGGTTCAGTAAAGACAGGAATAGATAAATGATTTTGAACTTGGAAGTATTCTGATAGATTCTATTACTCCTCATTAAAGTAGGTCTAGAACAGTAGTGGGCAAACTAAGGTAGCCATCTGTGAGTTTTGTAAATAAATTTTTATTGTTCCACATCCAGTTTCATTTATGTGCCAGTTGTTTATGCTACTTTAGGGGTACAGCAGCAGAGTTGAGTTGCAGCAGAAACCATGTGGCACATAAGTCTAAAATATTTATTTTCTGTTTCTCAAAAGAGTTTGCTTGACCTTTGGTGTAGCAAATTTGATACTTAGAATGTTTTTTGTATTTGATATATTCTGAGAGTACTATATTAAAAACTGTATAATACTATTTTGAATTGGCCTTAAACAGAGAGATTGAATTTCTGAGATTGTGAAAAGAATTCGATACCTCAGCAGTCTTGAAAGAAATCTGATGAGCTAAGAAATCTCATTTCATCATCTATAATCCAATGCTACTTTCATCATTATTAGTTTTGAGATTTTGGGGAATTTTTTTTTTTTTTTTACCTTCTTGGCTTATTTCCATAAGTTGAGGATAATAATAGAATTTGTCTTGGGATTGTTATGAGAACAAAATGAGTTAAAACTTCTAAGGTATATGAAACAATATGTGGTATACAACAGGTACTCCGTAATATTTAGCCATCATCATCTACATTGAAACAAAACCTGTAGTATCTAATAAATTATAGTTACTCAATAAGTAATATGACTTCTCAGCATCCTTAATTCAGTGTTATTGTTAAAACATGAGATTAATGGAACTATTTAAATATGTAAAAAGTTTTACCATTAATTTAGGTTTTACCAGTTAGCAAGAATAATGCCACTGCCCAGTTTGTATGGATTTGTTTTTATCTCTAAAAGATTGACAGAGGCATGACAAATTAGTTCATTATTTCATAAGTGAAAAACAGTAACCTATGAGAGTGTTCGACTTTGGAGCCAGGTTGCTTGTGTTTCACTTGCAGCTTTGTGTGATCTTGGTCAAGTTGCTTCACCTCTTTGTACGTTGTTTTTCTTGTGTAAAATGGGAATGTCATTAGTGAGGATTAAATGATTTAATACAAGTACAGCCCTCTGCTTATAATATCGTTGGCTATAATTATGTAATCAGTAAATTCATGGTTTTACCTGAAGTTAAGATTAGTCTTAATAACTTGTAAATAATTTTTATAAGGTTAGTCTTCTGAGAGTTGATTATTTTACTAATCAGCAATGGCTGTTATTTTTATAGCATTGGAGGCGTTGTGCTGGTAAACCTGTCAGGGTCTGAAAAGTCTGCCGGGAGAGATATGATAGGTAAGTGCAACTGCATCTTCTCTGTAATAGTACAAAGTTTTCTACTTACTGTCCAGCCTGCACACACACACACAAGAGATGGGCATTAAGCTGGACCTTTTATTTTTTTAACTTTTTAAATAATGTGAAAAAAAATACAGAATTCTCATATAACCCTCACCCACTTCTCCAGTTGCGAATGATTTACATAAATATAGTGTAGTTACGAAAATTAGGAAATAAAATTGATTGCAATACCGTTATCTATGGGCCCTTTTTAAATCCATCCATTTATTTCCTTATGTTCTTTTTCTGGTCTTGGATCATTTGTTGCATTTAGTTTGCATTTGTCTTCTAGTTTCCTTTAATCTGGAACTGTTCCTGTCTTTTGTCTCTGTCACATTGATACTTTTTTTTTTTTGTATTGATAATCGAACTCAAGGCCTCACGCTTGCCAAGCAGGGGCTGCGCTGCTGATCTACATCCCCGGCCCCTGATGTTGATACTTGTGAAGGATACTGCTTAGTTGTTTAATACAATGCCCTTGATTTAGATTTGTCTGATATTTCCTTAGAGTTAAATTGAAGTTGTACATTTGGTAAGAATAGTATGAAAGTAGTAATATTTCCTGGTCTAATGTTGATTTAGCTCACTACTAGTGGTATTAATTTTAATGTGGATTCTGCCAGTGCGGTCCAATCTAATATTACTAATTGTTCTCTTTGTAAGTAATTGTGAGATTATACAAATATCCTGTCTTTGCCACACTTTACCATACTAATTTTGTCACTCACTCTTGATTCTTACTTGAAACAGTTACTGTTTTTGATCTAGTGAATATATTTAACAAAAACAAAGGTAATTAGAACCCAGTTTAGTAGTTTTCTGTATATATAATTTTTTAGAAATTTGAAGTTTATTGTCTAGAACAATGCCTCCTAAACTACCTATGGTTACTGCCCAGTGAACTATGCCTTGATCCACCTTATTGTGTACCCTGAGAGCTTTGTGTATAGAGAAAAATTTATATATTTGTTTCTGTGTGTGTGTGAAGTTTTGTTGACCGGCTTTCTCTTTGCTTTAAAAACTTTGAAAATGTTCAAAAAATTGATGCGATAAAACATGAACTTTTTGAATAATTGATTGAAGTATTGAGTATGGTCACTTTGCAGAAGGACTTTATTTTAAAGGCTTATCAAGTGTTTTTAAAGGTTTACATCAGTGTTTTTGAGAGTGAGTTAATGAAGAGAGTATTTATTCACATACTATGAGTTTCACACTATATGATATATTTGGAAACATTTACAAATGCAAATAATGTGTTTGTAGTTTTTACGGAGTTCTGAATTTGCAACAGAATAAGATTTACAAACTATAGCCACTAGAGAATAAAGTAATATACTTAACTATGACAAATGTTAAATTGTCTAATACAGAAGACAAGGGGGTGATGATCAAGCAGAGTAGAAAGAGGATGCTTTGTGGAAGAGGTAGGATGGTAACAAAGCCTTGATGATGGGAGTGGAGTTGGTGGTGAATATGAAAAATATATGTGGAGTGGGAAAACAAATATTAACATCTTAGAGATGGAAAGAAGCATTTGCTAAGTCAGACTGTGCCATGTCGAAATTGTTTATGTAGGGAAAAGATAGAAAGTTTGCATTTCCAAGTTAAAACCAAAATGTTACTCGTATGAGTTTTATTATTACAACATATATAGGTGTTGGTTAGATCATTGAGGTGAATACTTTTGCATTTATTGGTTAATTATTGGTTAATACATTAAAATTCATTGCTATACTGTTGGAGGATATGGGTTATACCTTATTTTTTCACTTTGGTGTACTCATCTCTAAAAGTAGTATCTGACATATTATTAGATTTTAAGTCACTGTGTTGATATTTTACAGGTTCCATTTGGTCTCTTGCTGGAGCCATGCTCTATGCTGTGTACATTGTTATGATTAAAAGAAAAGTAGACAGAGAAGATAAGTTGGATATTCCAATGTTCTTTGGTAAGATTATGTTTGTGAGACTGCTTACTTTAAATGATTAATTTAGGGTTTGCTTTTTTTGTTGTGGGGGGTAGAGAATCCTTTTCTCCCTATTTTTAACTTTTTAAGAAACTTTTAAAGATTATGAAGTTTGATCTAAAGGTTTTTCTCTTACCTTGTCCTGCATTATTGTGTACATATGAGGTCATACCATGTGAGATAGAGAAACTTCTCCTGGCACTTTGTTTTGCATTAATATCTTCAGCCCGTGAATCAGTTTCTTCATCGATATGACAAAATTGTCCTACAATAAGCATGAGAGTTAACCTACTGTAGTATATATTGTACTTTTAATAGAACAGCAGTATAATATGATGTTGGAAGCTTTGTATTGGCTAAGCTGCCTACAATGATAAATTAATACTGTTCCATTCTGTATACTTATTTTCATTAAAAATTGTGGGCCATTTAAAGGCTTTCCATTTGCATTTTATCTCCCAAGACTTGTTCTTTTATAATTTAGATTCTCAAAGTTCTGATATAGTTTCTGGCCTCAATTATCAGGTTCTGGGAAATAAAATATCTAACATAATTTTCATTTTTCTTACCTAAGATTAGCTCAGTCAAGAACTTGTATTTGTAGGATTTCAAAAGAATGGCACATTGACAAGATACCTTCAAAAAGCTGGCAGAATATAAATAGATAAGCCTGTAGTGAAACTTTAGAGTGCACCTTACAGGAATCGGGAAGCTTGGAAGCTAGCTGTTGAAACTTCATTTATTACATACAGCAGTACCTCTGTTCGTGAGCTTAATTTGTTCCACGATTCTTGGGAAAATGATCACATTCGTGTTCGTGCAAAAGAGATGACCACCATGTTTGTCACCCAATGCAGAATTTGCCCAGAAAAACAAAATTTTGACAAAAGTTTCTGTTCTCAAATCAAATAAAAGCATTCGTTAACTGTGGTGCCACCGTTCTTATTTGAAAAATGAGGATATTGGACTAGGTGAGTCATTTCCAAATTCTGATTTGTTGAATTTGGGAGATCTTGAGTAGACTGGAGGAAGAGGAGGATTTTCATGGCCTTGGTTCTTGGACTCTTGCTGCTGCTTCTGGAACATTCTGCTTTGTTGGATTCTTTTCATTATTATTTGTAAAAAAATTTTTTTCCGCTAAAACCAGTGTAAATACCTGTATCTAAGATTAACAGAAACAAAACATTTGGAAAACAACTGGACTAAAATGATAGCCTAAGTTCCCTTTAAGTATAGAATTCAAGAAATGTGTCTTTGCCCAGTCAGAATAGCTATCATCAAGAATGTTACTCTGTTTTACACACACAAACAGAAAGACATCTTTCTTTAAAATGATAATTTATGACATTTTAGTCATAGAAAATTCTGTATGGAATGGAATGAATGCTGATATTGAGATTTTATGCAAATACTTGGGTCGATGGCATTTATTTTTCCCTGGGCAAGAATTGCATCTACTCATCAGTGAGTGTGCATAGCATGTAACTCATCATAACTTCATATGTGATGTGAGATGTATAACAATGTTGGCTTGCTCTGGGCTTTAACATAGGCAAGATTTGAAGAAGTCAGGAATGTGAGGGGCCTCTCCAGGCAAGGGAGCCTGAGCAGAGGCATTATAGGGCAGAGTAAGTGGACCCAAATGACTGCCAGAAATTTACCTCAAGAAAAGAGCAGGAAGGTATGTGGGGTGAGGTTCTGGAAGATGTGGGGAATAGGTGAAGTGATTTGACTTTGTCTCTAGGTTCAAAGATTGGTAATTTTTGTGGAATTTCATAGAACATAATAAAAATCTAATTCTTGATGATGCCAAATTTTGATGTTTTACTTAGAGTGACTTTTAGTGTTATTTATTTTAGGTCATGAGTTACTTCTGTATAAGTGCCCTTCATTGTGTTTGCTTTTTATCACTAAGTACATGTAAGTTAGATGTCTGAAGCAGGATGTGAGACAGGGATTTGGTTTAGGTGGTTTATTGGGTGCACTAGGGGTAGGGTCTTCTGAAGGAAAAGGGAATGAGGGAAGCAGGGCAGAGAAAAGAACCATATGGTCCCTGGTGCAGTTGGTCCAATTATTAATGAGAATGGGGACAGAGAGGGCACAGGTCATCATGTCTGGGCACTCCTCAGAGTCATCCTGGGTTGAGCTGTGAGGGCTAGCACTGTGAATTTTCCAGCAGTCAGGCAGCCTTTGGCAGCAGAGTGTGGGGTGACCAGGTGCAGACTTTCTGGGAAAAGCTGACTTGTTTGCTGTTCACTGACAGTTCTCAGAGAATAGGACAGCTGTGAGACTCTCCAGGCCTCTTTAAGACTGGTAGTTGAATGGGCCCGGGATTTAGCTCAGTGGCACTGTGCCTGCCTCACAAGCGCTGGGTCCCCCCCAAAAAACAATAGTAGTTGAGTACTTAGTGATGCAGCAAGTTTAAAATGATAACTATTGTAAATTAATTTTTTTAAGAAAGCTGTATAGTTACCACCTGGATTTCATAGCCGATCTGTGACGTTAAGATACATAGAAAGTGTGATAAAAGTTTCTATAGTATAATCTTTTTTCTTTCTAATCTTTACATTCACATAGTCATATATAAGCTTAATTTCAGTAATTACTAATAGCTAACTTTACTAAGTGCCTACTATGTACCAAGCATTGTGTTGTATTTAATAAATGTGTTGGTTAATCTTCCCACCAACCTAATAAATTAAATATTATTTTATATGTAGTGATTGGAAAACTAAGGATTCAAGACTGGTTTTGCATCTTGTATCAAGTTAACCTTAGTAGTAAGTGGTAGAGTTAAGATCAGAACCACAGTAGTCAGACTGTACAGCAGACTTCAGCAGTTAGTCTGTACTTAGTTCACACATTGAGTAGCTGTTTGCATATATATTTGTTATGTCACCTAGCTTGTTAAGTCTGGGAAGGCAACACCAAGAATTTTATCTTCTTTGGAATCTTTCTCCAGTATTTCTAGTCTAACACAAGTGCTTTAAATAAAAGTACAAGTTGAATCAGTGAGTAAGCTACCTAATTCCTCATAATTAATTTAGGCTAAACACATAAATACATATATACCAGTTAATTCCCTGAGTTCTAAAACACTATATATTATTCACTTAGATTAAAACCCTTCATTTTGTGTGGAGTAGTTGCTCCATAGAGAATGAGAGGTCAACCTCAAAGATAGTAGTTTGATACAGTTTTTTCTAGTGTTGAGCTCATAAGACTAAGAAACAAACTATCAAAAGTTCCAGTTAAGGAAACGTGTTGGAGCCCTTAGTTGTAAAATCTAATGTTTTCTAATAATAGAGTTACAAGTTTAGAAAATTAAAATAAGTAACAGTTTTAATTTTTATCCCCACATTTAGGTTTTGTAGGTCTGTTTAATCTGCTGCTCTTGTGGCCAGGTTTCTTTTTACTTCATTATACTGGATTTGAGGACTTCGAGTTTCCCAATAAAGTAGTGTTAATGTGCATTATCATTAATGGCCTTATTGGAACAGTTCTTTCAGAGTTCCTGTGGTTATGGTATGTACTATTTATTCTCCTGTGACATATTAGTTATCAGTTTTTTGACTTCTGGATGGTTTAAATATATACATATTTCTTCTGACTCCTTTTTTTTTTTCTTCTGACTTCTGAGGGCCCCTCCTTTTTATCCCTCCCTTCATGCACATCCTGCCTGTATTAGCTCCTTATGTGCAGGGACTTTGTATTTGACTTCTCTGTGTCCACGTAGGAGGAGCTCAAAAATACTTACTGAACAAGTGAATACAAATGCATGAATGAATAATTCAACTTTCTAAACTTGTAAAGACATTTTAGAAAGCAGAGTAATCGTTATCTGAATGAAAGTAGTCATTATCTAATGGTCATCCAAACTTCCGAGATGTGTATGCCAATATGAATTTATGAGTTCTAAACAAGAAGCTAGGGGATGTTGCTTACATAAGAGACTTTGGCTGTTCATACACCTTTTTGATTTGTTTGTTTTTAGGATCAGACATGTAAACTATTAACTGATTAATTTGAGATGTTAACATATTTTGATTTTATAATGTTGAGTACATTATGTTAGGCTTAAAGTAAGATTGGACATAGTATAATATGTGGAATTTGAGAAACATTTTAAATACAGAGCTTTATACTTTTGCCAATTTCTGTCCAATAGGAATTTTGAAAAAAATGCAAATTATACTTCTAATTCTCGAACAAATTTTATTACATACCAAATGAGACTACTGCATAGTTTTCCTTAGGAAGGACTACAACACAAACAGCATTTTCCATGAAGTTTTCTTTAGCACTCTGCCTGCATTCTTCTCCCACCCTTCCTAATTTTGGAATTATCTGTTTTCTTCACAATCCTCTCCATACGCTCCTTTTTGTATAATACTACAAATTAGTTTGTATTACAGTAATTTATGTACTCCTTTGCTGATATGAAACTTTTAAATATCAGAGTATATTTACTCAGTTCATTTTTATAACTTTCCTTACATGCATTTTATGTGCTCTCTTGTTTTTAACTTGAAAATTAATTGATAACAAAAAAATTCAACTAACAGCTAAGAAAAAGCTGGATTAAGTCAAATAAGTTTTTAATGTTATTAAGTTTTATATCACAGTTCTTTGCATGGTAAATATCTAAAAATATGTGCTGAATTTTAAAAGATGATAACTTATTTTCTTCTTATACAAGTATACCCAAATTGTTGTTCTTTGTAAATGGCTTAAGTATATGGCTATGTAGTATAATATTTTTTCAGCTACACAAAATTTTATGCAGATTAATATTTCAGAATTTGGTGCAACGTTGCTAATTCATGGTAAAAAAATAAAGAGTTTAGCTTAGCTTTTAATTAGGACAGTTGTTAGATAAATGAAAAAAAAAGGAAAATAGTCTTTAAAATACCAGTTTTTTTTTTTTTCTATGCTGAGCCAAGGCAATAACAATAATTTTGTTCATGGTGAGATTTTTTTGCTTTGGTGACAGTCACGTGTTGGCTTATCACTTCCTTAAAATCTGTCTATGATGTATTGTTCTGTAATTTTAATACTGCTATTTTCTTTGTTAATCATGTTATAAAAAACTATAAAAAGTATTTAGCAATTTTTTTAGCAATTTTTTAAATTAATGAAATATAAACATCCAAAGTTGGATAACATCTATGCTCAAAAATAACATAAAGTACTTTGAATTTTCTGTACTTATTTGTACTTTTCATATTTGAAGATAAACTTTTAAAAAATGTTAATAACATTACTTTCTGTGTTTCAGTCCATCTTAAACTTTTATTTGTCCTCCTGACCTTTCAAGCTATAGTATAGGAGAGAAAAACCTTTGTTAAATTATATGTTAAATGTAGAATTTTTTTTTCAGGGGCTGCTTTCTTACCTCATCATTGATAGGCACCCTTGCGTTGAGCCTTACAATACCTCTGTCCATAATAGCTGATATGTGTATGCAAAAGGTAAAACAAACTATTTATTAGTATTTTAAATATGATATTAAAACAGATCTGATGAAAGTTAAGGGATGTATCTAAACTATAAGGAATATAAATAGGAATAATAATACTTTGATATGCTTTTTTCCCAAGGTGCTTTACTGCTCAGTAATATAAACAAATACCAAAGAAAACCATTTTTAGCTTTTCATTTTTTTCTGAATTTCTAAGTTAAGGACCATGTCTGTTTCTCTCTCTCTCTTTTTTTTGGGGGGGTATGGGGATCAAATTCAGGACCTTGCACTTGTGAGGCCGGAGTGATGCCACTGAGCTACATCCCCAGCCCAAGGACAATGTCTTTGTATGTAATGCTCTAGTTTCAAATTGATGAGGTTCTAGAAGTCTGTGATCTAAATCAGTGGTATGGAATAAGAGGTACATTTTATAACATTTTAACATTCTGACAGAACCACTGTGGAAATGAGCAGCTCATAAATAATGTGGTTTCTCAGAGGCCATTCATCTCAGTAGATCAGGTATCCTTATCCTTCCCTTTGTTGTAAAGCCTTGATCTGGATGCAGGAATTCTGGCGATAAATATTGGCAGTGATAACATCAAAGAAAAGAGATGCCTTCTGCTCCCAGCTTTGAAGGGGACCCTCCTTGGGTAGCAGGAGGAAAGAGATGTGCCTTTGCTTAATGCTGAAAGGTGGAGGAGAGCCACTTATAACTCCCAAGTAAAAGTGTGTGTGTGTGTGTGTGTGTGTGTGTGTGTATTTTGGTTTAATTAGAAGGAATACCTGAAAGCCCAAAGGCTTATAACATGTACAAGTAATAATCAAATTTTTAAAGCTATTTTTTTAGATGTTTGTGCAGTTTGGGGATAGAGGCAGAATAATCTCAGTATGTGTATCCTCATAATTTAAAAAACAATTCGGTGTCGATATTTCTAGCTTATTAAATATTATGGCAGATATTCCAAGAAAAATGAGTTTACCAATCATTTGACAACTAAATGAAGGCATTTAAGTTTCTCTTAGTAACTACTCTTACCTGGGCATTTTTAAGCCTGCTTAGCCTGTGGCATACATGTGTAATACAAATAGGAGGGTATACGTGTTAAGACATTATTATCATAAAACCCTTTACTCTGATTAGTGGTGGCATTAAATGGAATAGTGCATGTTTTCCACAATGGGGAGTCTTGCCTATAAATTTTAGACATTTTTTTCTCTTTCTTTTCTTTTTAATTTAAAGAGGGAAAACAGGTTTTCTTCCCTATTTTTTTTAAAGATAGGAGTTATTGTCTTTTTTTGGGGGGGTGGTTTTTTGGTTTTTTGAGAGAGGGTCTCACTGTGTAGTTGAGACCGACCTGGAACTCACTATGTAGCCCAGGCTGGTCTTGAACTCACAGCGATCCTCCTGTCTCAGCCTCCTGAGTGCTGGGATTACAGGCATGCACAACCACGCCTGGCCATTGTCATTATTTTTAAAGCAAACCACCAGTGATGTTGCTCCTAAGTCTCAGAGTTAATCAGTGTAGGTTTTAAAAGTTGTTTTTAACATCTAGTTGAGTCTGGATGGCAAAGGTCAACTATTGAAAAGAAGAGGGTTTTGTTTTTTTCTGTTTTGGTAATTTTATGGCATCTCATTTTTAATTTTCTTGATAACACTGATAAATAATGGCTCAGAGTATCACATTTAGTGGCATCAGAGAGCTGTGCCCCACTGAGGCTTGTCTTGCTGCTTTTCTTCTCTGGCTAATATTCCTATATGTCTTCATTTTACTTGATCACTATTTCATTTTGTACTTTTTTCATTTGTTGTTACTAGGTAAATTTAGAATTTGTTGCAAATAGTTAATACAAAGTTGCCAAAGTTGCACTTCATAATTTCATTTGATTTTAGTACTGTCTGAAGACATAACATAACTGTTTTTTTAACTGTGAAGTTTTGAAGATGACATCAGAAACTGATGGGGAGGAATACACCCAAGAATGGGCAATAACCATTAAAGCAGAAATGGGGAATGTGGTATGCAGGACGAAAGTGTTCTTTTTAGATATTCTTACTCTTGGTGCACTATGCCTAATAAATGAGATAATTATGTTTTCTTGACTTTTTGCCATTTTCCAAGCAGAAAGTATTATTGACAATTTAGGCAAGTGGAGTTGTAAGTTGAAATTCTAAATTATTTTATTTAATAATACATTGTCAGTGGTTACTCTTATCTTCTTGGTGTTAAAGGTAACAATTGCCTTAATGATTTTTTTTTCTGAATATTTTATTTTTAGGTGCAGTTTTCTTGGTTATTTTTTGCAGGCGCTATCCCTGTATTTGTTTCATTCTTTATTGCAACTCTCTTATGCCATTATAATAATTGGGATCCTGTAATGGTAGGAATTAGAAGAATTTTTGCGTTTCTATGCAGAAAACATCGAATTCAGAGGTAAGTTTAGTTTCCATATAGATTTTAATAAATTGCAAAGTAAAATGAGAATCATCTCATACTCTTCTAGCTTTTAGACGTTTTGTGAGAAATTATTCAAAGATTATAATTTCTTTGTGTCATGCCAGAAAAAAGTAATTTCATTCAAATCTTTTTAGTCATAAGATAGTTTCTTCATTGTTACTTTTTAGAAGAAAATGTTTTGATTGAAGGGTAAAACGAAAGTGCTTACTTTTTCTGTAATGAATTTAAATGTAGAAAACGTTTATTGGTTTGAGCATAATTAATAATAGAATATGTTAGCATTTCCAAGATTTTCTTAGAATTTCTTTCTTTTTAAAGAGAGAATGAAGCTGGACATGGATGCACGTACATACACTGGGAGCCCCTATCTCAAAACATTAAAGAAAGAGCTGGGGATGTAGCTCAGTGCAAAAGCCCTGGGTTCAGTTCTCAGTATTGCAGAAATAAAGAGAGAATGTTTTTTACATTTTATGCAGAAAGAACATGGAATAAATTGTTGGGGAATCCTGCCCTACTCTTTTCTTCCGCCATTAACTTGAATTGACTTCACAATTTGAATCAGTATAATAGACCATTTTGAAGATTCCCTTTCAACTCTTAAGTTAAGCTTAACTTTGTTTTTTTTGTTTTTGTTTTTGTTTTTGTTTTTTTTTTTTTTTTTTTTTTTTTTTTGCTTCAGAGCTCCAGAAGACAGTGAGCAGTGTGAGAGTCTCATTCCTATGCACAGTGTTTCTCAGGAGGATGGAGCTAGTTAGCTGTTCAGTTCAGGTTTGTATGTGAGTTGGCATCAGTGTTGAATTAAGATTCTTATTCTCATAATACTCAAACAGGGATTTTCATGCTTGGATATTTGAGAGGCAGTACAGCCTGAAGGCAGTATAATCTCTGGAGTCAAAGTGCCTTGGTTTAGTTCCAGCTAAACTTTGTGTGCTGGCTGTGTGGTCATATGTAGATTTCTTTATGCCTCAGTTTTCCTATTTGTGAAGTGGTGATTCCTAGGTAGCCTCCCTTGTAAGGTGGAAGGAAGTATGAAATACATGGCAAGTACATTAGGGCTTGGTTCAAATTAACCGATCAGTAAGCTTTAATATTTATTTTTATTGAATTATTTTATTTAATGATATACTCTAAAAATATTTTTTTCTCTATTAAAAAATGTAATAATTTAGTGTATAGCCAGTGTTTTCTGTACATGTGTGTTTTGGGTAACTGATACAGTGTGAATCCCAATTATGTGATTGCTTTTTCATTTAACAGTGTTTTGGGAACAGTTTCTCAATAAGAAACACTATCTTTTGTATTTTTTAAAGGATGGAAATAGTACGTGATATTTAATGGTTTGCTAATGAATGCTTGAAATAAATTCAATGGCAGATATAAAACTGATTATTTAGACTAATAGAGCACACTAAATAGCTAGAATTCTGGAGATTCAGGTCCCTTCCTTCTGAGTTATCTTTAGGCAGTTTCTGTTGAAATGTTTTCCAGTTGAAGCTAGACTTTCCCTTCCCACATAGAATATTGTACTACTAGTATCCACACTTACTTTGGCTCTGAGTCTTAAGTTTCATGGTAAATTTGCCTCAGGGTGTGGTGGCACACACCTGTAAGAGGCTGAATCAGGAGAATTGCTATGAGCTTGAAAATAGCTTGGGGTTCATAGTGATATCAAGGCCAGCATAAACTATGTGGCCAGAACCTGTCTCAAAAAAGAGAAAGAAAAAGAAAAAAAAATCAGAATTGCATCCAATCTAAGGTTAATTTTCTTAAGGCCAGCATAAACTATGTGGCCAGAACCTGTCTCAAAAAAGAGAAAGAAAAAGAAAAAAAAAATCAGAATTGCATCCAATCTAAGGTTAATTTTCTTGTGTGTGTGTGTGTGTGTGTGTGTGTGTGTGTGTGTTTGTGTGTGTTTTGGGGGATTTTTTTCTTCCCTCAGTGGTAGCCTAGCATCTCACATGTTCTAAATAAGCACTCTACCACTGAGCTGCATCCCCATCCTTTTGAGTTTTGGTTTAATCTAGTTTTTATTGGCATGATGGTTACATGCTCATAGTTTGAGTTCTGGTTCTCTGAGACGTCTTCTGCAGAGCAGCTTTCTCTAACGCACCCTTCTCTGTCCAACCATTCTTGCTTTCATTCTTTTTCTACTCTGAGGAAATCACTTTAAACTCCTAGGTGATTCTTTCAGTATTTATCTTCTGTACCTTTACATATTGTGTTTATATTTTTGTTTCTTGAGTTTTCCGTTTTAGGTATCTTCATTGACTTTTTCACTAATGTAGATGAAGATCTCAGTTTCCATCCCATAGATGAGCCTGCCACCCAGTCCTGTTATCATTCGTCCTAACCCTCATCCCTAAATAGTTATAGCATAATTTCAGATAGGTTCATTTTTATTGTTTATACTTTTACGGCTAAACAAGTGTTAATAATAACTGAGCCATGTAGAATACTGCCTGGTGTTTTCCAAGTACAGAGACCCTATAGATATATGACGTACCTATTTCAAAGCTAAGGTACCTTGGTTCATGAGCTTAATTCTTTCCACAATTCTGGCTGCAAACCGAACTGGTTGAGAACGGAATCGAATTTGTATTGTCTTTTTTTTTTGTACCGGGGATCAAATTTAGGACCTTGTACTTGTGAAGCAGGCACAGCTCCTCTTGAGTTATTATATTCCTGGCCCTAAATCAAATTAGTAGTTAGGTTCAATTCAGACCTCATGGGGAAATTTGATTCTGTTCTTAACCAATTCGGTTTGTGACCAGAATTGTGGAAAGAATTAAGTTCTTGAAATGAGGTACCAGTGTAATTTGCTTTTTAAAGTATAAACTAAAGAAGATTGAAACTATGAAAATCATAAGCTAATAATATCTTTTTTGTTTTGCTTTGTCTTTAGCCTGGTGATGGAATATTATACAGCGAAGAGACAATCTCTGGCAAGTTTTTGTAGAAAAATGTTTCAGTGCCTAGTCTGAGAAATAACAGTTTCAGTTCTTTGAAACTCTAACATATATTTTCCTCATGTCTGTACTCTTCATTTCCATGGTGAAGTACTTTGCTGTGCAGCTGTGTACACATCACTACAGTTACCGGATGCTCCAGACCACAGTCCATCTAAAGGGCTACCCTGCCTTGCATATCTCAAGGGCTTCAGTTGAAGAAATCATTTGACTAATCAAAGAATAAAATCCTCATGTTCTGAAGATTTTATTTTCACATATTTGTTAAATGCTGCACTATATTATAAAAATGATTTCAAGAAATCATTTAAGTGTGTAGATCAGTATTTCTGACAGGTAAAATGCCTAACATAAACATCCTGTAATAGGTATGGATTATATTTTTGAGTTTTGTAGAATATTGCAAATTACACAGAAAAAAATGTTTATGTAAAAGATGTGTTCATGCAAATTTGGTGGACTTTGAAGAGAATAAATATTTCAGAAAAGATCTGGTACACTTATACTACATATACTGTATTCTTTCATAGCATTAGGTGCCTTGTATTTTAAAAATGTGACAAACTATGACAAATTGTGAAGGGGAAATATAAAATGAACTGTATTTCTAATTGCTGTATTCTATAAATTTAATTGATAAAACTCTGTTTAATTTAGAGTTTTAAAGAAATATTCTATCTTCAATTAAGAAATTTTCATAATGGAATGATTAAATTGAAGTGATAGAGTATTATTAAAATAAAATGTTTATATATGTGTTTGTGTATCATAGATATACAAAGTGATTTCACATTTTATAAATATGCAAATTACTCCAGAACTGGATGCTTCTTTAAGTAACTTGTTTTTCTAAGTACATTTTTTAGTGGATAAAGCATCAAGAAAAGGAAGTTAAGGAGGAATTCTACTTTTATTTATTTTGTTTTTTGTTTTGGTACCAGGGATCAAACTGTGGACTTGGTGCTTGCAAGGCAGGTGGCGATACCACTGAGCTAAATCCCCAGCCCAGGAATTCTACTTTTAAATTTACATTTCAATTTTTCTGCCAATTTTAATTAAGTTCAAATTACAGTATTAATCAAATTTAAAATACTAATTGCATCTCCTAAACGTAAGACTTACACGTGCATGCCCGTCGGCTCCTGGACTCTGCTATCAGTGAGCATATGTCTCAGGGTCTACAGGCTTCTGATTACTCAGAATCCATTTCCTTTTCAAGTTCTGTGAGAATAATTTAGTTCTCTTTAAAACTTTTTAATGAATCTGAACTTTAAAAGCTCTCTTTGCAGAGACCCACTTCTGTTTGTTCTATTTATAGCCTTAAAGTTGCTTTGCTGTTACCGTGAGCCTATAATGAAGTTTAGCCATCTTTCTGCATAGTCCTGAGAATTTTTATATTATATTAATTTAAGAGATTGTGATATTAAACTTAAAACAGACAGCTGTCTTCTCATTTGGTGCCACCAATAATTCTTAACCTAAAATAATGTTGATTTTGTTACTCTTTTTTGACCTGTTTGGTTTGACAGGATAAAGAGGCATGTGTAAGACATACGGACTTTTAAGGAATTTCTTAAAAATAAGAATTTACTGAAATACCGTTTCAGCTACTCAGAGACTAATTCTGGTTGAAGTTTCTTTGTTCTCTGTTTTTGCCATTTAACAGTTCACAAAGATCTTTTTATGGGGCAAAATAGTTGAGGTAAAGGAGCTAAAACTAAACATTTAGGGTTCTGGAACTAGTTAGGAAGTCTGTTAATACGCTGGACGGATCTCCGGAGGGACTTCACTAGGCTGCTGCTATTTAATCCAGGAGGCGCTTCAGAAGGAAGTGTCATAAATTGGGTAACGAGAGCGTGAACTACTGCTGCTTTGATTGCCTTTTATCTTCGCTCTCAAGGGTTATCTATCGGGCTGGCTGTTGTATTGAATACTGTAGACCCAGTGGAGTGAACAGTTGAAGACCTCCTTGCTGTACATTTGTGTTTAAGGGTTCAGCCCTTCGGGAAGCACAGTAGTGTAAGCTCAGTGCCATGGTACACATCTGTAATCCCAGCTACCCAGGAGGCTGAGGCAAGAGGATCCCTGGAACCCAGGCATTTGGAGACAGTCCGGGCAGCATCAAGAGACCCTGTCTCTTGAACAAACAAAAGTGCCCGTTGGTTTCCTTCTGTGGATTTTCTGAAGCTGGGCAACAAGGCCGGGATCACAGCAGCTGTGATGCAAAGCAGGCCTTTGGAAATGCTAGGGAGAAGTCACATTCAAGCAACTGCTCCTGTCCTTTCTTAGAACATCACTGGCCTGTAATTAAATTTTTCTGAATCTAAAGATTCACAGAGAGTTCTGATACCTTATTTTTCAGTCTTCTACTTTTCTTTCCATAAATAATTTTTTAAAAAACAAACAAACATACTATTGCTATGTATCCCAGGCTGACTTCAAACTCACAGTGATCCTCCTGCCTCAGCCTCCTGAGTGCTGGAATTACAGTTGTGTGCCACCATGCCAGTTTAGAGTTTTATTTTAGTATGTCTTATGTTCTCAAAATTCTATTTAGATAAATTGATGTTGAAAATAGAAATGTTTACTTTTCCTTTAACTCTTACTTGATTGCCTTGTATTCATTCTGAGTTTTTGATTACCTAAAAATTTGTTTTGTGTATCTTTAAATATTTAAAAGATATATTTAAAAATGTTTTTCAGTAGTTTCCTATATTCAGTATACATTATTATTAGAATGTCAAATATTGAAATCAGTAACGTGTGTTTAACGGAAAGCTGCATATGCACGGTAATGAGTACTTTCTGAGCACACTGCCAACGTATTCATGAGGAGCAGTGGCGTCTCCAGTGGGAACATTTTGAATTTATGGTGACACAGTCATGATTGTCCTTTGGAGTTGGGATTTGGGGCAAAGAAGCACCCAGGTGAAGGCAACATTTCTTTCCCTCATGGTATCTTGAACCTGGAAAACGTCCAACCTGGAACTTTGGACAAGTCGCATCATGAAATTTTTAGTTTTTAATTTAATTTCAAATGTGATTTCTTACTTAAGAGCCAACTACTTTTATTAACTTTAATTTAGATCCTTGAATGCTAAGCCATTCAATATTTCTCTACTTGGTTTTCCTGTACCTCGACTTAATTATGGTGAGTTAATATAAAGTCAGTCATGTGAGACCTCCCATTAATTTCAGTAGGTCCTTGCAAGGCAGCCAGAACATTTGTTTCAAGAGTCTTAGATGTTAGTTAAAAACAGTCCTTTTGAAGTCTTACTGTCTGCTTACTTGGAATAGCTTTTACATTTCTTTTTCTTATGAGGAAAATCCGATGACAATTAGACCGTGTAACATCCAAATTTTTACTTAGGGCCATCACTGACTTTCATAGAATAAAGTATAATACACTAAATTTTTTGACCTCTGTAGTAATATTTAAAATTATATACATGTACTCCTCAGCTTACATTGCAGTATGCCCATCTTAAGTTAAAAATATTTAATTAAAGTTGAAGATACTTTTAATACACCTAACTTATTAAATATAGTAGTTTAGTAACAGTACACTGTAGAGTACGTTTATCCTCATGAGTGTGAGTCTGAATGAGAGCTGTAGCTCGCTGCTGCTGTCCATTGAGAGTGTCATGATACATATTCCTAGCCAGGAAAAGATCAAAATGGAAAATCAGAAATACTGGATATGTATCACTTTTGCACCATCATAAAAAAACGGTTCAATCAAACCATATTTGCAAGGAACATAAGAATGTTGCTGAGAAGAGGTATTTCCAATGTCATGCTCAAAGTTGAGCGTCAGCCCCTTCCTGGGCAGGCTGTCCGACATAGATCGGTGGAGTGTCCCCAGGTAAGGAGGCCTGGGAAGCTGCATTTCTAACAACTATCCAGGTAATGCTGCTGCATGTTCCACGATCGCACTGAATTATCGCTCTGAGGAGAAGTATTAACTTTGAGTTGGATTCCCTCTGTTGCCCATTAGCAGATTTATTAGGGTGAAATTATTTAAACTATTGGCCTGCATTTCCTCATGGAGAAGTCCAGATTAACGCTGCCAGCCTGGGACTGAAATCAGCATGCCTGGCTTGAAAAATGCTGATTTCTTGGGTCAGCCCTCCCCTCGCTTTTCTCAACTGTAAAGTGAGCAGATAAAATGACTTAACAAGATTCCTCAGAGTTGTAAAAATCTGTGATTCCAGCACTCTGGGTAACAGGAAGATCCCAAGTTCGAGCCTAGCCTGTGCAACTTGGCGACTACTTTAAAATGTTAAAAGGGATTGGGATATTATATCTCAGAACAGAGGCCCTGGGTTCAATTCTCAGTATGTCTGTTGCTCCAAGTTACATAGTTAAGAGAGGATGCCCAAGCCTTTATGTGCACTTAATGCTTTCTTTATATGGAGTGGTAATAGGGCCAGGGATTTAGCTCAGTGGTTCTGCCGCCTGCCTCAAGCACAAGGTCCCAATTTTGATCCCCAGTACAAAAACAAACCTGTCCCTAGAGTAGTAATAACAGTGATCCTGCACATACCATCTTTGTCTTTGCTTTTGTTCAAGAGCTTAGCATCTAAACTTTTAAGTTTTCAGTCAGATTTATAAAACAGTGTTTAGGAAGTGTTTATATCTGAATCTATTCCAATTGTGAGGATGCTGTGTGTATCAGAGAAATAGGGTCTTTTCATGGAATGAAAAGTGTATATAACTAGTTGATTGGGGCTTGGAGACCTATGGAAGCTGCATCCTTCCCAGGTAGTCTCCTTGGAGTACTACTGACTGTTGGGTGTCCCCAGGAACAGCACTCCCGGCTTGGATGGGAGATTTTCCCTTTGCATTGGATATTGCAGTTGAATTTTAAAAGCGTTTTAAAAACCCTGAGCCTAGAGAGGCTATAAGGAATGCAGACAGGCATTAAAAATGCGAATTCCCTTTATCAGTATAACCATCTATTTGATAAGAGAGAAAGGATACATTGTAGGGTAAAAGTTTAGCACAATCAAGTGCGTCAATATGTAAATTAGCACTAGAAGTTAGGTATCAATACTTGTGTAGGATTATGTTTAATTTTGCATTTCTTTGAGTCATCTCAGTGTAAGTCTTTGTGAAAGTCTCTTTTAGTATAGGATACAGATTTTTTTTTCTTGTATATCCCCTTAGACTAGTAAATCAAAGCTAAAATTTTCAAGTGTCAGCACACTGTGAGTCATATATAAGGCAAGAGTGCACATTCTGGTCAAATTGCAGCATTTTAATTTTATCTGATAGGTCTGTATTGAGAAATCAATGGCTATGTGCAGATGCTCCCAGGAACAGCGATAGAACAGAAATCAAATCAACTCAATTACCAGACCCAGAAGTCCAGAGGTAATGAAAGAATACTTCAGGAAGATGAAATGTTTATGAAAAATTAAGGGAATAGTGTTTGAGATACATATTTTCTTGGTCATAATTTTATGCAAAATTTTGCCACAGTTGTTATAAAATGAACCTTTTGTTCCTCCATCTACTTAAAATGAACATTTTCAGATCCTGGAGTATTTAAAATTTAAACTTAATTGTAAAATTAATGCTAATTACTATGGATGTGG